ACACTCTATATCAGTGATGGCTGTTAGAACGCAGAGCTATTTAACAAAAAAAAAATTGCTTACAGCACCTTTAATTTTTAATTTTACTTCCACTAGATAGTGCTCTGAGGCCCACCACTGGTGTTCTAAATAATTTGAACTTGCTACTTGTTTTCTGTTTTCTTTATGCTAATGCTTTTGGCTAACTGTCTTTGTTTTTCTGCTTACTGATTGTAACTGCATGACTGTGCCAACATGTGTTTCCTCCTCCCTGCTCTTGTTTGTAGGCTGCACCTGATTTTCAGGAGACAAGGCCTCGCAATTATGTTCTGTCTGCCAGTGCATCAGCGGTAAGAGTACCAAGTAAAACAAACGACAAACACAGCATGAGCTAGGCTAACATGATAATCAGCATACAGCACTATAACACTTTGAGGACTTTTATGTGCCATTTATCCTTATGATGGACACCGGTAGAATAACAAAATGTTAAAGCACACTATGCAGCTTTTAAATAAAGAAATTACACTGTTAAAAAAAAAAAACTGTGTGTGGGCGCCCGGTTAGCTCAGTCGTTAAGGGCTGCGACCCATCACTCACCCCGCAGCGCCCGGGTTCGGTCTGACTGCAGCCTCTTGCTCGGCACTGTCATCCCCCAAGATACACACAGTCTCTCTCTCTCCCCCATATCTTCCTGCTTCTACACCCAGCCATCTCTATCAAAATATAAGAAGGCAAAAAGGCAAAAAAAAAAACTGACATTACCAAGTCAGTTGCTGACTTTACAACTTTCTAAACTACTTTCATGCTACGTCTTAGCATTTACCATTCCCCCATACTCCCCTCCTGTGGCGACAGTGGCTGCCATTCAGCAAAAGTTAACTAGACTCACTTTAAAGCAACAACATTTTCAAATGTGCCTGAGACACAAGTCAGACACAAATCAGACACAACAGTCTCCTGCCTCTTCTTTGTTAAGACAGCAAAACTTAACATTTCACAGGTGTGGAGATTTGTTTTAAATGTATTGTATTACTCAAGCCATTGAAATGAACTAAATTTAACAATGCTGAGGACTGTGAACACCCTTATATGTAACTAAATACTATATATCACACGGAGGAAGAACCCAGAATCATGTCAACACGTCGGTGGCACTGCAGTGTTGCCTACTTGTGGTGTCTGGTGTATATTTAGACAGCATGGGGTGACAGCTATTAAATAACTTTAAGATGCACATGTTATACATTTTGAATGATTTATAGTTTGTAAGTAAATGATGTGAAAGGGCTGCATTGCTAATACTTGCACAAGGTGGGCTTGTCAGATATAACAGCACTGTTGCATGATGTTTGCAACATAAATATGATACTTATGAGCATGTTTGTGCATGTTTTATTTTTGTTTTTTGAACTGAATATTTTTCATTTAGATTTTATTTTACAAAAAACTAAGAAACACTATATATTTTGAATGAACCACATTTCAAGCCATGTGCAGTAGCTTTACACCCTATGATCTGAAAGGACTTAATTGAGTTTTATAGTTAGTATAGCACTGGTCATAAAAGCAAATATAGATATACTGTACAAGAGAGGTATGGTGGCCCTGAAGTGCCAAACTGTTTACAAAATCAGTTAACAACAACATTTAATCAGAAATGGCTGTTGTTAGCTGTGTTTTAGAACAGCTTCAGCTAAACTGTAACTTGCCGAGGTTAGGGTTAGGGACAGCTCTGCCCACGCATCTGATTCAGAGGAGTATTGCAAAACATAATGTTAATAATGAGTAATGCTGATTTTCCATTTCAGCTGAGGACAATGCACGGTGTGTTTTATCAGTCATAGTCTAGTTGTACTTTTGGCTGTCACAAAAATAAATTTTTATCAGACTGTACTTTTAATACAGATATAATCCTATTGTAATGCACAGTGTCCTTACAATCCACTGCAGTATCAATAGCCTGTTACGTATATTAGCTTACATTAAAGCAGAGAATTGGTCATTATAATTTTCTTTTTCTATAACTTGCAACCTCAGTAGCAATACAATGTAAAAATACTCAAGTCAAAATCTTACTTAAGAAAACACAAAGTATTATCCTATTAAATTTTCTCCTTGAGTGAGTTGCAACCAGCTGAACGCTGCTTACGTCTGTATTTGACAAC